GCAATCCTAGACGATGGAATGCAGGTCTGCACCAAAACTGCATGTTAAGTTTTAATCACCTACTGATCAAACAGGAACTTTGTTGTTTAAATTCAGAAAACTAATTCATTCTTCTTGGGTTAAGATTGTGTCCCATCTTTTTTTGGAATAGGAGTATGTAATACCTCCCCAATTCCTATTGTGTGCTTTATCATAACCTCCTTCTTTTCTTTTCCTTTTGGATTGTAATTATTTGATCTTCCAAGAAATTCAAAATTGGATATTCTTCGTAGTTCAATCCTCAAGACTTTATTCTGGACCTAAAAATGGCCTAGCTTCTTATTAGGGTTTCACAGTTAGGAGTATGATTGTCTGCTCCTTTATGATACTTAATAACCTTGAACTTTTGCTCACGTTTTGTCAACTGTGGAAATCCGAAAGCAGCATATCAGTTTGTGGCGTGACATTGAGATTGTGATGGTGAATGCAATGATTCCATGGGGGAACCATCAGTTAATTCCACTTGGACCATTAAGGGAACCTTTGACCGCACTCACACGTGCAGATATAGTTGTAATCCATCATGCAGACATGGTATTAACACCCTTTTTCTTCTGTATATGTGACTGCTTTCTCTTCGAGTTTGTGACACCAACGAAAGAAGCTGAAACATAACATTTGATTAATAAAACTTAGAAAATCAAATAGGACCTCTGATTTCCATTTAATTTGTTTGAGTTATGCAGGTTTCAAAAAAGGATGTGGAGGCCATAGCATCAGAAGTTCGAAAAGTAAAAAATTCTCTTCCTATATTTTTGAGCAGACTGACGCCTTTATACTTTCTTAAAGCTGGCAACATGTCTTGTAAATTGGCTTTAATGGACATCCACAATACACTTGTCTTATGTGTCTCAGCAATTGGATCTACTGATTCTTTTGTTGAGAGGATGAAGAAGGTACAGTTGTTGAGGTCTCTTGTTTGATACTCATACAACCTTCTATTTTCTACCTTTGCATAGAAGTTTGGAGGTGGTTGAGTTTTGATTCAGCTTCTTTCGTTGGTTTTATTACCACAAGTTTTTATTCTCTCTTTTGTTTAAAAAGTTGTTAACACTCCGCAGCTGGAACCTGCGTATGTTGATCGCCTGGACTTCAGTGACCATCATTTATTTCATGCTAAGGTAGATGCCATCATATATTCTTGTTTGTCTTATCTTTTACTCGCCTGTTCGATCATATGACACCCATAGATCTGTCATCCACCTGTATTCTTTGAATTGGTGTTGGTGCTGGACATTTTCGTTCTCTTATCTTTTTTCTTTTTTAAGAACTTAAGTTTTCACTTTGGTCCATATATTATGTTAGGATATTGACATGATCAGATTGAGACTTCGGAATCTTCAATCAGAGTTTGCTATGAAGCCTGTTGTTGTAGTAACAGAAAAGGTGAGTAGCTCTTGCAAAAAAGTAGTATTTTTTTCTGTTTATTTGTTTCTTAGAAGGAGATTAATAAATAATCAAAACTCAGAAAAGGTGATTCTTTTTTCGTTTTTGTCTGTAAAGAGATAACGCTTGTCGAGTTTATACGCGCTGACATAAACAAGCTGGAAGAGTTAATATAGCCAACATATTTTACTTAAATTTTTACAGGATAAGAAAATTATAATTCTAATACTAAGACAACTACATTTACCTCACTCTCTGTTACTTACATCTATAGCTTTTAGCAATCTGTGCAAAGAAATGGCCCAATCCTTCTGAGAATTGCTCATGTGGTAGATGTCACCGTTGTTTATTAATAGGCTCATCTGGCCGAGGTAGCCCTAAAATGCAAGGCACGAAAACCCCTCACTCTTCCTTGCCCTTCAATAACCATTCATCGCCTTCTTTTCTAGGTTTTGCTAACCTTATTCGATGCTTTCTAGTCCTGTAATTTCTCTTTATCTTGGTGGAAAGATGCTATTAACTATCTCTCAATTTGATGGCTTTCTTAATTTATATCCTCCGAAAAAACATAGACCATTAAATTTGTCCTTTGCGACCTTCCTCTTCCTATTGAGAAATAATCGTTGGAGTTGGTAGTCAATTTTAATTTAAAGACTTGAGCTGAAGGTCTATTAGAAACAACATCTATATCTCTATGAGCCTGTGAGGTAGGGGTAAGCTTTGCGTACATTCTACCTTCCCCAAACCCCACTTGTGGGATTCCACTGGGTATGTTGTTATTGTTGTAAATTAACTCTCATATATGTATAGTACGGTTCACGTACTAAGTAGCTAACAAATTATTATAAATTTCTCATAATCACTATTCTTGATTTGGTAGGACTATGATAGAGCTCCAGAGGTTCTTAAGTATTTGGATCCATATGAAGTGTTGGTTCTTTGCTCCAGCTTGCAAATTCTACCTCATAATGGAAACACAGAAGATAGCTTTAAGAAGTGTCTCTGGCAGCATTTGGAAGTTAGCAACAAGGTGTAAAATATGGTGTAAAACTTCTTTTGAAGATCATATTGAGGTGACACGATTGTACGAGGTCACAATTCACCCAACATGATCATCTCAGATGAGCTAGAAATGGGAGATCGGATGCAGGCAAAGTTCCTCCTAATCGTTGAGATGTACAGTTGACTTCCTTCCCTTTGTGGGGGGTGGGGGTCTTGATTCTTACAAGTGAGCAGAAAAGGGAAGACCGAGTCAATTATTAATTTAAATTACGAATTTAGGGGTAAACATATCGCATCAACGCGTCGATGCGATGGTGCGATAGTAGGGTCTCAACTAACTGATTGTCTTGAGTTGAAAATCCATCTAGAAATAGCATGAATTTCAACAAATTGATCTGGAAATTGATTGATTTTTTGGATTACTATATAAAAAATTAGAAGACTCCAAATTTCCCAAATATTAGATATTTCTATTTTTTCCCATTATGTACAGTGGGAATATAATAAGCCCATTTTGATGAAATTGAAATGTGAAATAACAAATATAAAAAGAGGAAGTGGGGCACCACCATATCTACGGTTCCATTGACCTGACGACAATGATAATATATTTAGTATAATTTTATAAGCTGGGTTGATTTAGGGAAACAAGAGACTTGTATACAGTCATACTGTTATCTTAAAAATAAGATATGTTATTTCTGATAGATCTTTAACTCGAGTAAAAAAATATATTAAAATTAAATAGGTAAAATAAATACAGTAATGAAGAAACCATATCGAAAACGCTCCCGACATAGAGTAGAAAATAAGATTATTTCAACTTCAACTATAGAATACAGCTATATGATGGACCACTACTTACATTCCATTGTTCCAAATTTTTTTGGTCCCCTTTTTTGCTTCCCCTGTTTAAGAGAAAAAAGAATTAATATATTTTGACATTCTGTTATTATGGGGCGGAGCTAGCATGTAAAGTATGAGTTCAATGACAAAATCTAGTAATTTTGATTCAATTTTTTTTTTTGAGAAACATTAAGAAAAATAAAGTCTTTTATATCCATTAAGTTTTCAGAAATTTAAAGATTTAAAAAATAAATAAATAATGTCACATAATATTATGGAAAGATACCAAAAAAAACAACATATATTTTAGATTATAAGACAATAAGGAAGTGGGATACGTGTGGGACGGGTTCTTTGAGTTCTTAACTTTTTATAATTAATAAAATAATAATTAAAGGTTGGTATAAATGTTATAGATCTACAAAAAGGGCAAAGTAGTATTCTACTTTGATCTTTGAAGAACATGTCGGTGTGTTTATTTTTAACTTTTTATTTTTATTTTATATAACAATTATTTCGTATTCAAAATTTATTGTCTAATTAATCTAAATTCACGCGGTGTAAGTTGTTTTTTTCTCCATTACTATCCACTAAATTAAAGGAGCTTTTGATTTGGATCCAAAAACGTGTGAATCTAATTCACGAATCATCAACTTTACAAAATTCAATGAAAAGATTATTTATGTGCTCAATATGTTGGATGGGATAAATAAGAATATTTTATGAGATTATTTTATTTTATTTTCTATATGTGATAGCTATTTCATTATTTTAGTACAATAATAGAATAAAATAATCTAAAATTAACTATTACTTTTAAATCAAATATGAAATAAATTTAATTTCAAATATTATTTTGAATTATTATCATTTATCTCACGCAATATGTAAAAGCTATGAACTCATCACTTCAAGTTTCATCTGACAATCACCCATTTGATATATAAGTTTTTTTTCCCAATAATATCATTTTCTTTTATTCAAATCGTAAACGATTATTTACTCGTTTTTTCTTGCGTTTTCTAAATTTTAAAGTATTTTCCAAATCAATAGTCTTACTTGGTGTAGAACTTGTTTTCAAATTGACTAGAAGTAATAATGGATCTTCTTACACTTGAATTGACTCCACTAATAACCAATAATATATTATTAAATCATATTCTGATCTAATCATATTCTGATCTCATACGAAATTTATTCTATATGAAATTTAAAAAAATAAAAAAATAATTTTAACTTTGTAATATTAAATCAAATATACATAGACATTAGAATATATGAAAACATTTTTTAATCTTTTGATCTTTAATATATCATATGATCTCTCGCACATAAAATATGACTTCAATCACTATTTATTACCTCTCTATCCTAATTGTTTATTGCTTAATTATAGTAAAACATATTGACTTGATATAAATACGAGTGTACATATACAAGTTATACTTTCATATAAAGCGGCTCCGTCTAAGAAGGGCAATATATTAAAGATATGTGGCCATGAAAAAAAAGCATATAATTTCTTATCACTCAAAAAAATTAAATAATTCAACTCGTTCACACATTAACGTGTAGATTGGTTTTGCGTCTTCTTCTCCTAGCTATAATATACACCACTAACACCAATACTAAAATTCATCTTTATAAATAGCTCCCATTTTTATCTAATTTTTTTCAGTGTAGTGGAAGAAATAGCCATTTTTAATTTTTTTGGAAAATTTAATAATCAATGGCTATTTCTTCTTTTTTGAGTTTCTTTTTTTTGCTCATATGTTGTTTTAAAATATGTCAAGGACAATTAGTGCCAGCAGCCTACATGTTTGGTGATTCTTTAATTGATGTTGGTAATAATAATCATATAGCTACCATTATTAAAGCTAATTTTCCTTATAATGGTCGTGATTTTCCTGGTGGACAACCTACTGGAAGATTTTGCAATGGCAAAAATACTGCTGATTTTATCGGTAAGTGTTCCCTCGATCGTCTTATTTTCACGTATGTTCACTGAATTTTATCCATAAAATGGCTATATTAAAGTAACGAACGTAATTTGGTCGTTATTTAGATTATTTCCATCTCCATTATTCTCGTTGTTCAAAATGTTCAGAAAATATATATATTTTTTTAAATAATAAGTAAAATGATTTCTTTAATGAAAGCAGCGAAAATAAATCTCATTCATACTTTTTTTTGGTACCGCAATGTCGAAATCATCTTGGTTGTAAAATGGCACTATATATCACTAGCTCCTAGTGGGGTACGTACTGTATAAATTGTGCATGAAAAACCAACTCTTGGATGCATGAAATTGACGGAGTCGGGTAGGATCGAAGAGGGTTCGAATTTAGCAAAAAATTATATATATATATAACCCTCGTTGATTACTTCATATATTCACTTCTTTATATTTTTAATTGTTTAATGAAAATTAAGACTCTGCCCGTGATCAAAAAAATTAAAAGAAGGAATAGAGAAAAAAGGAGAGAGAGGGAGATGGGAAATGTTTTTTTTGGCAATGAGCGATGAGAAGAGAACATATTTAAGGGTCCATTCATTTTAACTTATATATATTCCTTTTATGGTATAAATGTTTGTCCAAATATAATATATATTTATATTTAAAAGTTCTTTAATGTTGAATTACCTTTAACAACATGTTTTTATAATCATAATTAGTAATAGCATGACATGATTAAGATCAAACAAATTATATTTTTAAGGTTACTTATAGTAGTAATTCTTTAATTAAATAATATATAGTATCATTAAAATAAAACACGACACATGGATTATTCTTTTTTGGAAGTGGAGTATTAATTCTATTTTGAGTGATGGAGCAAACTTTTAACTCTTTTTTTTTTCTCTTTATTTGTTATAATATTATCTCCTCACTATTTTACTATATAATTATCTATTGTTTCCTTTACTTTAGTTGTGTTTTATTTGTTGTCTTGTTGTTGTTGTTCTCCTTTATTTCTAGCATGATTTAATTACTTTATTACTGTATTTTCTTTCTATATTTGAGTTTGATATATATTTTACTTGAGTCGAAAGTCTATTAGAAACAACATCTCTATCTTTACAAGATCAGAATATAAGACTACATATACACTTTCCTCGATAAATCCCGCATAGGAGATTATAGTAAATTTGTAGTTGTTGTCGCTGCTACATCCACTATTTTGTTGTTATAGCTTTTGGAATTATGGATGCAAACTTTATTATTTATTTATTTAATACTTTTTGTAAAGTAACTAATTAATTTTTTTTGCATTTTAATTGTTTTGCAGCTGAGAAATTAGGAATACCAACACCTCCCCCATACTTGTCTGACAAGAACAACCAGTTTCCAAAAGGTGTAAGCTTTGCTTCTGGTGGAGCTGGAATCTTCAGGACCACCAATGGTGCATTAATTGTAAGACATATATATCCATCTTAGTTTTTGTATTTTTTTGGGGAATTTTATCTAGTCAGTATCAGTCTATTCGTGGAAGTAAATTATCCAAAAAGTCTCCTTACTAGACCTAACATCCTGTCATCGCTTTCAGATACAAGGAAGTATTCATATCGCGTAAGGCTTGTTAATGGAGAAAATATTCTTTATCGTGATCTTTGTGATTTCAAAATAAAAATTAAGAAATTTTATTTATCTCACCACAACTTTTTTTGATAATCGAGAAATCCGTCTATGACCCGTCCTTTATCTCACCACAACTTTTACTGATTCCTTAATGTCTCTCGCCTTTATTTTACATTTCAGATAGTACATGAAACAAAAAATTAATTTTCAGGGACACGTTGAATTGAAAAATTAGCTTAAATTAAAAATAGAAAATAAAAGAAAAAATTTATGCGGTGAACGTGGATCGAACACGTGACCTTCAGATCTTCAGTCTGACGCTCTCCCAACTGAGCTATCCCCGCTAGTTGCTTGTATATTTTCTGTTATTTAATTTATTGAATTATTATAACATATAAACACTTATTAGTGTAATTGGAATATATGGATTTTTTTATAGGATGTAATAAATCACAAGAAAATCTTCAAACTCGAATTCAAAATTTACAGTTGATTGAATTTAGATTAGAAGTTTATAATAATGAGTTCAGAACGTTATTAATTCAATGAGCTTTTCAATACAATATATAAAATTTGAACTAAAATTACTGAATTTTGCCGAACTAATAATGCCATTCACGTCCTAATTAACAACAATTTATTTTGTTTATTTGCAGAGTTTTGCACTTCATATGTCTCAACAAGTACAGTTTTTCTCAGTGGTGCAACAAAGATTAGTGAAGCAATTAGGAGCTGATGCTGGAATGAAGCAATTATCAAAATCTATATTTGTTGTTGTCATTGGAAGTAATGATATAATTAATTATTTTAAATCTGATTCAAAACTCTCAAAGACAAAAGCACCCCAACAATATGTTGATGAAATGGTCTCTACTCTACAAGGACAACTAAAGGTACATTTTCTACAAATTGTTAAGACTAAAATTTCTTAAAATATAGTAAATTGTTAAGAATTCGGTCGAATCTAGTAACTTAAAATATAAATTGTTAAATTTAGAATTCAGTAACTTAATAAGACTAAAATCTCCAATTTATAAGCTTTAAATTTTGATTTTGTCTCGATCTGCTTATCATATATAAACAAAAACTTGATTGTTTTGATAGAGTATTCTACGTCCTTGAGGAATTGAAATTCTCGCTATTTGGTGTTGGAAATAGGAAAAACAAATTTTATAGGTAACTTTCAAGTTTATTGTCTCTGTCCAACCCATCCAACATCGTCCCCGAACCCCATCTCTTTGACCATTCCACCACCCTCCACTCCATTTCATCCTCATATTTTTTAGTTAGCTTACATGTTACTGTTTTTGAGATATTAATTCTTTTATTTACCAAACATAAAAAAAAAAAAAACACTTATTTTTTCCAAGATTATTTAGAAAAAGAAACATTTTTCTTCGTAATAAACACACTGTGTCTTTTAACACACTTATTAGATACCTAACTCCTTTTCAATAAAAAAAAACCAAATTAACCAACTGACAAATCAATCTCAAAGATCTTATCGACCATTCGAAAACATACACAACTCTCATAAAAGACTCCTAATAGTCCTTTTTTTTTTTCTATTTAATTTAAATTGTTTTGTTCTCATTTCATCCACTAACTAATAGGAAATTTTTTTTTTTATTTTTTATTTTTATTTCAGCAATTACATGGACTAGGTGCAAGAAAATTTGTGATAACAGCAATAGGATCAGTTGGATGCATGCCATTACTAAGATTTCAAAGTGCAAATAATTCAAATGAATGCTTCCAACAAGCTAATTTTTGGGCAGACAAATATAACCAACAACTTCAAACTATGCTTAAAGGATTAAAGGCTGAGCTCAAAGATATCAATTACTCATTTATCGACACATACGCTTTGTTGCTCGATATAGTCCAGAATCCAGCTATTCACGGTAAATTCTCGATTTCATTAACTCATTTTTCTTCTCTCACAGAAACAAATTCAAAATTTTAAGTTTGACGCGTTGTGAAATACCATCCATTATACTTTACATAAATATATAAACTTACAAAAGAAGCAAATTTTGAACATTATGCTAGTGAACATAGAATAATGTCACATGGAATGATTTTAGTATAAGAGATATTTGTACATTTTATCCTTCAGGTTTCAATAAATTCTTATTTTTGGTCCTTGTGGTATTTCACTAAACATATTTCACCTTATTTTTGCCCTTTCACATAGAAAATATACTATATTTAGATTCTATATATAACTATATTACCATCAAATATAAAGTGATTGTATTAATTAATTAGAGATAATACATAAATAGTCACAAGCAGAATGATAAAAAGTATACATTTCAAACTAAATGACAGTTAAATGTACATGTTGCTTAATCAAATGTTACAAGGACAAAAATTCATAATTTATCAATATTTCAGGGACTAAAATTGCAAACTCCCTTAATTACAAATATATACACTATGTGAAATTATCATATAGCCGATTTCAAATGCTCTTTTAGTTATACGACTTATTTCACAATCTATCGTTAATTATATTTAAATGTTTGAAGTTTCTTATAAGTGTTTTTTCTTTTATTCAAATTTGTAACAGATCGTTGTACTTTACCTTTTTTTTCCAGGTTTTACTGAAGTGAAATCTGCTTGTTGTGGACTTGGAAGACTAAAAGCTACAGTTCCTTGCACCCCGGTTGCTCTTGTCTGTCCCAATAGAAATAAGTATGTTTTTTGGGATAGATATCATCCAACTGAAGCTGCTGACCGTTTAATTATCAACACAACTTTTGATGGAAACAACAAATATATTTTCCCACTAAATGTGAAACAACTTATTGCCTTGTAATTTTGCATATTTTGAGCATAGAAACAAAAAAAAAAACAAGAAAAAACACCAAGGTAACTTTGTAGACAGGTTTTTGTCTATATACATTTGAATTATACTTTTTGTTGTAATCAATTTCTTGCAAATATCTAAAGTGAAAGTTTTTGTATTATTCTCTCTGTCTCAAATTATTTATCGTTTTAACAGTTCAAGCTGATTTTTAGTGATAATTGTTCTTGAAGACTATTAACATCTCAATAAAGTGAAAATATTTTAAGAATAGATTATATTGTAAGTCTAAAATGAGGGTAGAATAGTCAAAAAATGACTCATAAGCAATGTTTTCTCAAGGAGTGTGTAAAAGAGAAACACGACAAATGATTAAAGATCGAGGGAGTGTATTTTTTGAGAGATGATCTTGTTATTTTATTTATTGCTAATTCTATCAAATTCGAAATTGGATTATGGAGTTTGATTAATTTTAACAAGAGCATCAAGGAATATAATGGGATAGATGAATGTTCATGTTCATAAACAAAATTAAATATCAAATTCAAAATACTAAAAATAGAGAAATTCTTGATGTGAAACGCTTCCTCCATTAGTGATGAGCCCTAAGCGATGAGTGTGGATCGAACACATCAGGTAAGAGTTGAGATTGTATTAGGTGGTTTTAAAAAAAAAGAAACATTGAAATTATAATAGATGATCTTGAACTTTTTGACCTTGTTTCGTGAGGAAACTTCAAGTTTAACATAGTTGCCATTTGAGCTTGAATGCTTGACCATGTATAAGGTCAAAAGTTTAAAATCACCCATTTTCAAGATCATTCGATATATTTTTCAGCCTTAGAGACAGATGGTCTTGAATTTTTGATCTAGCTCGCATTTAGAAGAAAAAAAAATCCAAGTTTAACAAGTTTTGATGTTTGGCCACATAATAAATCAACAACATGTCAATGTGACACAAACTATAAAATAGAACTGAATAAAAGAAAAACATAAAAATAATGCGGTGAACGTGGATCGAACACGTGACCTTCAGATCTTCAGTCTGACGCTCTCCCAACTGAGCTATCCCCGCTTGATGTTTACTTAATTTCAACTATTTAATATATAATTTATCTTCATAAACATCAAACAACTAAACAATTTATATTTTTTTCCCATTACCCATAAGTCATAACAAGTCTTTATCTTTGCATCTCTTGTTTGACTTTATGTCAAAATATAGCAAATAAATACCAGCACTATGATTTGACTTTATGTCTTGTACGTAACAAAATTAAATAACACGACATGCAATTAGCTTAGGATACACGAAAAATAATTAGTTAAATATGACAAACATCCAAACGTAAGAAAAAGACTACTTAAAAATATCCGATTGAGTTGTTAATTTCTTGTTACTAAGCTATTTAGTAAGCTAACCCAAATTAGAAGTTTTATTCTAACGAATTCAATAATAATAAAAAGTTTAAGTTATATATATCATTATTATAAACATTATGTTACGTAAAGGACGTTTAAAGGTAGTACTCAATACAAATTGAAATTTCTTTATACTGACAGTGCATATAACTTAAACTCATGAAAGAAAAAATGCATAATATTTTGAGATTCTCATGATTTCATTTTAATTTTTTGTTTCATGTTTTGACTGTTGACCAGATTGCACTGCATTTAATGGTAACTTAATTATTTTTTTACTCTTTCTAGGATCTTTTAATATGAATAATTACTCTTATTGATAATGACATTAAATTAAACATAACTACTTCAATATAAATTGTCTATTGTCTAACTTCATATTTAATTTGGAGTTGAACATGATCAATGGCTTCTACCAAAACTAAATTGCTAAATTCGTGTGTTTTAATAATTGCAATTTTATTAATTTTGCAATTTAATGTGTCAAGAGCACAAAAGGTGACAGCCATGTAATATAAGTTAAGCTCATGAAAGGAAAAACGCATAATATTTTGAGATTCTCATGATTTCATTTTAATTTTTTGTTTCATGTTTTGACTGTTGACTAGATTGCATTGCATTTAATGGTAATTTAATTATTTTTTGACTCTATCTAGGATTTTTTTAATATAAATAATTACTCTTGTTGATAATGACATTAAATTAAACACAACTTCAATATAAATTGTCTATTGTCTAACTTCATATTTAATTTGGAGTTGAACAAGATCAATGGCTTCTACCAAAACTAAATTGCTAAATTTATGTGTTTTAATAATTGCAATTTTAATAATTTTGCAATTTAATATGTCAAGAGCACAAAAGGTGCCAGCCATGTATGTGTTTGGTGATTCTTTAGTAGATGTTGGGAATAATAATTATTTGGAGACATTTTTCAGAGCAAATTTTCTTTTTAATGGAATTGATTTCCCTGGTGGCAAACCAACAGGAAGATTTAACAATGGGAAGAATGCTGCTGACTTTATTGGTAAATATTATTTTCTTCGTCTATTTTTACTTGTTCAGTATTCATGATTTGATATGCGTTTTAACTTTTAAGGAATGATAAATCAAATGAAAATTTTATTATATCATTTTTTAAATACAATAAATTCAATCTTTTGAGAGATGACCGTAGTCTACGATTAGTAATAAATGTAAATTATGAACTAAGTGATGAATTATCTCTTGATTTTTAAAATTAAATAAGTAAAAATAAACGTCTATTTTTAGTTCGGTAGACAAATAAAAATGGGAGTACTTCCCGTCCCAACTCTCCAAGTATTAATCGTTTTGGTAAAATTGAATTTGTTTTTATAATATTCGACGTTTTAAAATAGTAAAAAGCATATGTAGTTACTCTGTTCCCCTAATTTACTTTGATTGCTTTAATTAACAAAATGGTATTTAAGTGAGACATTAATTTAAGAGAGAGAAAAAATAGGCAACGTTAGATGAATAATGTTATTAATTAAGGTTATAAAGAGAAGTGAAGATTTTAAAGTTGAAATTCGAAAATTTTAGTTTTTGAAATTTGAAGTTACGTTTGGACATACATTTTACTTGAATTTTTTTTTACTAATGAAAGTCCCAAAATCCAAAAAACTGATTGGTCAAATAGATATTTGAAGATATATTTTCAAAATCTGATCTAAAATCTATGGTCAAACGCCAGCGAACAGACAAAAGCTTGGAAAGGTTGATAATATGAAGTGATACTTAAGTGAAATCTGAGTGATTTCATGATCAGAAAAATGAAAATTTATAATAATATTAATTGTAATTATGCTATAATTTCAATAATCTTGTATGTAATTAGCTTATCATTAATTTAAAATGTGATATGTGGGAACTTAATTTGTTCGTTTTTAAATGACAGCTGAAAATGTTGGTTTACCTACACCACCACCATATCTTTCCGACAAGAATGACGTCTTTCTACAGGGCGTAAGCTTTGCCTCGGGAGGAGCTGGAATTTTAAATAGCACCAATGATCATCCTTTTGTAAGAACATATTTATTCAATTTTATACTATGACATTATTATTAAAAGATTTCAATTTTCTCTCATAGATTATAATTTTTTCAAACTTCTTCGTTAATAAGCCCCTTTATACATTTTTTCTTTTGTGTAGTTCATAAATATGTGAAATTTATTTTAAGAAAGAAAATCTACGTCTGATTTCAAATTGAAAATAGTATACTTGATTGATGACTTGTATTTCAAATTTAGGCATTTTTTTCGAAACAAAGAAAGTGCTTATATTTTGAAACATTAAGAGGAGTACGTTTGTGTTTCCCTTTTTCTAGTTTCTATAATCACATTTTGCTATATATAACAATAAAACAAAAAATAGTCAGACAAACAACGTTGTTATAAAGAGATTTAATTGTATTGTGTACTAGTGTCGTGTTTAACTTTTCTAATGAGTTTTTTTTTCCTCTGTGATAGAATGGCACAATTTACCTCTCAAAACAAGTTGGGTATTTCTATGAAGTGCAACAAAGGTTGATTAAAAAGATGGGGGAAAGTGCAGCAAAAGAGCACTTGACAAATTCTCTATTTGCTATTGTTATTGGAAGCAATGATTTATTCAACTATTTCAGCTCAAAATCCAAAATCCATCTCACAAAATCACCACAAGAGTACATTGATTTAATGCTATCCACCTTATCGAACCAACTAATGGTAAGTTCTAGCTTCAAATTCAGCGCTTGAAGTTTATGATTCTTATAACAATTGCAGATAAATTGAGTTTACAATCAAATATTTCTAAGCTTGTGAACCTATATGTGTTGCTCATGATCTGTCATCGTGAACAGCAAGAAAAAATGATATAACATATATAAAATATGCTTGATATGAAGAAAGTCATTTTTCAGTCATTTGTTGTATTTGGTTATGGAAGAAAAAGTTTTTCATCAAAAAGAGGAAAATGTACATACTATAGGCGCAAGTCATTTTTCTCGTAACTATAATGATTAATTTGTAATTTCATATTACTTCCTCTAACTAACAATAGACATTATTATTACTCTTTATTATTCAAAAATTCCACCAATGTGCTAATATCATTACTGATCTTTTTTTTTGCAGAAAATTACTTCATTCATCAACCAAACATAAAAAAAATATATAATATTTTTCATAAAAAAATATCTTCAAAAATGACTTCTGTTATACCAAACATATTTTATAACATTTTTTTTTGTTAGGTATGTTAATCATGTAACATAATGACGTAAATAATTAATATTGTGTGTGTCTAATAATTGGATATTACTTCTTAGAACTGCCAACATAACATAAGTTTAATGCATCTGACTGTCCTTTTATTAATTTGATTTCAGCAAATACAAGGTTTGGGTGGACGTAAATATTTGATTGTTGGGATAGGACCATTAGGGTGCACTCCATCGCAAAGGCTTCGAAATTCTTCGGAGGATTGTTACGATGAGGCTAACCATTTGGCCACCATTTATAATAAAGCTCTACAATCAATGTTGCTAAAATTGAAGTCAAATCTCAAGGAACATTTCAACTATTCCTACTTCAACATCTATGATTTCTTGATTGATCTCATCCAAAATCCAACAACATATGGTATGATTACAATAACTTCATTTTTTCAATATTTGTCTTTTTTTTTTATTGGAGCTTGCCTCGACTAATGCAGATAAGTGTCATATAAGACACATTTACGAAGAAGTGCTTTTTGTTGGGATATTTTTCGATACCTAGAGATGTAATCTGATACATCTAATTAAGACTTAAAAATGAAATGATCTTATCTATCCTACCATAACCTTCTGTGATTGACTAGCTTTTGTTATTATGCATTCTAACTCAACCTTCTATGATTTCTTTGTTGACCTCATACAAAATCCTACAAAATATGGTATTATTACAATTTACAATAAGTTCTTTTTTCTAATATTTTGTTTTTTCTTTTGGTTTTCGATCGGGGATTGCCTTGACTAATTCAATCAGATACCCGCCGTGTAAGATACATATAAGGAGAAGTGTTCTTTAATTACTAGGTTTTTTTTTTCGATTCCAAAGCTCAAATCTGAGAGCTCTGGTTAAGACTTAAGGGTGGAGTGATCTTATCCATCCTACCACAACCTTCAATGATTTAGTTTTTGTTATTATACATTCTAGCCTTCAAGTGAGGTCTGGAAAACATAGAATGTATGCACGTCTTACTTCTACGTACCTTACCATATATTGCAAATCTCTTATAAATATGTTTATTTTTTTCAGGTTTTCTTGAGATTAAATCTGCTTGTTGTGGGATAGGGAGATTATATGCTGAAGGTCCTTGTATTCCTATTTCAACATATTGTCCCAACAGGAGTGATCACATTTTCTGGGATGAAGTTCATCCTACAGAGGCAACAACAAAAATACTTGTTAATACTCTTTTCAATAATACAAAACAACATGTAACCTCAATGAATTTAGTCAATTTACTTGCTTTGTAGAATAGGGTTAATTATATATCTACATAGTGCAAGACTTGCTTGGTCATGTAGTAGCTTATCCAAAAAATTTATTTAAAATAATTTCACTTATTTTGAAAGACGTTATTTTTGTTAGAATTCTTTGGAGATTACTAATTGTTTGTGTTTGGCTGATCAATTTGAAAAGTATTTTGGTTAATATAAGAGCAACAATTTATCCTTGGCCAAACTTTTAAAAAATTGTTTATCGAGAAACTATACTTTTTTCCAGCTTCTAAAACTATTCAAAAATACTCCTTTTTCTTTTTTTTTTTGCTTTCTAAGAGTTTAATAAAACACTTTAATTTTCTAAAATAAATATTTTTAACTTTCGAAAAACTTGGATAAATAAGCTAAAAATATGAAGAAAGGGAGAATGCAATCTCTCAATGGGAAAATTATATGAAATAACAAACTATTAATTCAAATTAAATGTTATAGCCATATATAGTTTCTTTTATTTGTAATTCGCAGCAAACATTCCATGTTTTTTGCCATTCCATTTGTATACCGAAATATAGAAATGCAGGACCCATTTGTATAACGAAATATACAAATGCAGGACCCATTTGTATACCAAAATATACAAATGCAGGACTCGTATACTAAAATATATAAATGCAGGACCCATTTGTATACTGAAATGTACAAATGCTGGACCCATTTATATACCGAAATATACAAATAGACATAAATACATATTTTTTATGTATATGTATACCGAAATATACAGATTAATAGCCATATCAAACATAAAGTTTGTTATGGAGCACAAGTATACAAACTATAGCTATAACATACAAATATAATTTTTATGTTTGCTAAACCTGAAATTTACTCATCTCAATTGCGACAATAAGCTTACTATATTATAGATTGTCGTACAAAGTCAACTCCATGATCACTAAATTGTGGAAAATTAAAGAATTAATTAGTAATTATTGAAGGTATTAATATGTTAATTAAAAGGGCTGATACTTTTGGAGTGGGAATCCTTTCTAAGCAGCCTCCTTCTAAGATTATTAATTAATATAACACACTATAATTACTTAACTTTTGATTTTTGGCTGGAAATTTGAACTAGACGCTGGTCTTAATATTCATTCGATTATTAATTAATATAACACACTAAAATTATTTAACTTTTGATTTTTGGTTGAAAATTTGAACTAGACGCTCATCTTAATATTCATTCGTCATTTAAAATATTTAATAGATATCTTTTTATCTCGAAGTACTAATATGTTAGTGGAGAAAAGATAATGATTTTGGATTTGGAAGTTTTTGCTAGGTGGCCTTGTGCAAAGATTATTTTTAATATAACACAATCAAATTGCTTAACTTTTGATTCTTTGTCTATACTTGTTCTAATAATATCCATCTGTCATTTAAAAATACTTAATATATATATACCACTTTTATCACAAATTTCTAATATGTTAATGGAAAGAGAGGTGATTTTGGAGTTGGATAATTGCTAGGTGGGCTCACTCGAAAGTAATTAATTATTTATTAACACATTCAAATTTCTTCAAGTAATTTTGATTCTTGTAATTTTGAAGTTTGAACTAGACAAATGTTTGTCGTTGCTTAAGATATTTAATATTTTTTTTTTATCCGAAGTTATTAATATATATGTTAATGGAAAGAGACAATAATTATGGAGTCGGAGTCGTTGCTAGGTGAGCGGTGACCTCACTCGGAGTTCACACTTATTCTAATATCCATCTGTCATTCAAAATACTTAATATATACCGCTTTTATCACGAACTACTATTATGTTAATGAAAGAGAGATGATTTGGAGTTGGAGTTGCTTAAGTGGCCGCACTCGAAAGTAGTTAATACTATCATATTCAAATTCCTTTAAGTTTTGATTCTTATCATTTGAAGTTTAAACCAAACACTCGTTAAAATATATTTTTGCCACTTAAAATATTGTACACGTATTTTTTTGTCTTATCCAAAGCTATTAATATGTTAATGGAAAGAGACGATAATTTTGGAGTCAGAGTCGTTGCTAGGTGAATAGTGGCCTCACTCGGAGTTCGTTAATTAACTTAACAAAATATACCTAACTTTTAAATTTCGACTTAAAGTTCAAACTTCGTTCTTTCCTCAAAATACTGAATACATAGCTTCTTTATCCCAAACTATTCGTATCGCGCCAAATTATATTTTTTATACCCCTCTAAAATAGAATTTATCTACTAATCAATAGTCCAAAAATTGATTTTTTACCTCATCAATCATAATTCATCCAAAAAATTACACTTTCTATAGTTGGAAATGAAGAAGGTTCCTTGAATTTCATGAATTAATAATTATATTACCTTATAATATAGTTTTATCAAATAAAGTAGGAAACATGATAGCAAACATAATTTAATCAAGTTTATAATATTTTAATTTAGTACAAGTATAAGCACAAAATGATAAGCATTATCAAAGTCATGTAAATTTGACAAACGCCGTCTACGGATTAGCGTGTTTGACTCCCATTGATTTTATTTGTTCCCTCCATAAATCCATCAATTTTCCGACGAACTCGGCGGAGGAAATGGAGGCGTCATTCGTATCTAGAGCAAAGACGGCCTTCCATTCTGCGGCAGCTAAAGCGGAGAAAGTTTTCACTGATATCAAAAAATCTGATCTCATCAACGATCCAGGTTCATCCATCTCATTTCTCTTTTTTTCTTCTTCTTCTAATTACTGTAAAAATTAGTTTCTATTGCCTGTATACATTTTTTTTTTTGCTTTATCGGACATTCAAAATTGGAACAGATTCGGATAAACAATCGCCGGCGACGTCAACGAACGAGATTTCAGACGATAAGGACGAGTCTAAGGTAAAATTTTTGTTCGCTTTGTTTGTTTCTTTGTAATTGTTATCATTCTGATTTTCCGGCATTTTCCAGTTGGAATGCATATGACTCGGAGTTTTTTTTATTTTTTTATTTTTTTATGTTGATGAAGATGATGATAATGTGAGAAAAAAGAGAATGTTCGAGTTTTGAGTTTAATCTCGTTTGGATTTATGATTAGAAGTTCAAAGTCAACTAGCTAAATTCGTTATATATCAATCTACTATGACTCAATTGGGAATTAGTTGGGGTTGGCTATATGAATCTGTCCTGTTGCTCTGTTCAGCTCTATATACGGAGGATTTATCATAGTTAAACTATTTTTATCCTGCCAGTAGATCGGGTACTATGCTTGGTTAAGCTAATGTCGATAGATTGAGGACTTATCGTAGTTAAACTATTTTTGTTATGCCCGCAGATCTGGTTATTATGTGTTGTTAGGCTAATATAGGCAGATTGAGGATTTATCATAATTAAACTATTTTTATTTGGCCCATAGATCGGGGTACTGTGATTTGTTAAGCTAATGTAGGAAGATTTAGCTGGCTAATTTCAATGCTTCAATTTTCTTTTGTTTTTTTTTCCTTAAGGAGCAAAGTAGGTACAAATTGATGTCAACATAGTTGTTTTTAATTTCTTAATTAATCTCAAACTACTATGTTTTAGGTATCTTTAACTTGATTTTAGCTGTTTGTTTTGCTGTATACATCTGATAGTATAATGAGCTGTTGTTAAGTAATCTTAAGGATGCCTTGTTGCCAGGACGAAAAGAATTCAAGGCGGAGGCCTCCACCAATAAAGGCCAAGCAGGACTGGCAGGAGAGGTTTAAGAACATAAGAATAGGTAAAAGAGGAACTGAGGGCACTGACAAAGCTGAAAGTCCAGGAATGGCATATGCAATTTTTGATGAAAATATTTGCTTCATGAGTGAGAGAGCAATACCTGATTCGAAGGTGAGTTATCCACTTGTTCTACAACACAAGGTTCTTAATATACAAAGCATTCTGTCTTCGGTATTCCTTTAGCTGCTTTTATTCCCCCTGGTTATTTCTCACCTAATTCTACCTTTTGACATGCAATGATAGCTGTTTGTTAGTGACTCTGTCCCCATTTCATATTGTTTCGGAAAGGTGCTTATATATACATGACCTGTACTTGCAGAAACCCTTATTGGTACTTGGTTGTGGCTAAAGATTAGTTTATCTTTTTGCAAGTCAAGAGTTAATGCTGTTGTCAAACCTAGGCTATACTCGAGTATTATATACTTAATGAGCATTTTAAGGCTTTAAACATACAATAACTAGTTCTTGTATGTTCGAACAATTTTTCTTCATTCTTAGAGTCAAAAGAATTATGTAAATATGCAATTATATGTCCTTAAGTTTGTTTTTCTAATGATATGAGTTTCTTTACTTCCTCAAGGACTCTGAATCAGGTTTGAGGATGGAAGAGTCAAAACATCGGGACAGAGATGTCATTCCTCCGGCCTCTGTCATGAAGCAATTAGCTGTAGCTGTCGAGTAAGATATTTGTTTATCTTCAAATTTTAACCACCTCAATTTTAGTTGGGTTCTCTGTCAATTTTCGCATGTCATTGGCATTCATATGAAATGTTTGATTTTTGCATTGTTCAGTTCCATCATGCTAGTGAATTCTCTTCCACATCCTTGCAGTGGTTCAACAAACACCTAGACTGTGAACTAAAAAAAGAATGTTTATCACTTATGTACATGGGTGTCTTTTTCCTCAAAATTGACGATGCGGGTCTAATCCCTTTTCCTTTCCCCCCTATTGCCCCCTTCCTAGGGCTGGAAAGAGGTGTATTACAATGAAAGACTTCCTAGCTTCATCCCGAGGTTCCTCACCCATCATGGAGAGGGCTAGCTTAAGCTTGTCAGCAGTGAAATCATTAATGCTACGTGAAAAAGATGACAAATTTGCGGGTGAATTTGGTGCGGATGACAAAGTCTTGTCTCTTATCAATTTACTGCTAGATGCAGGTAGATGCCAGTTTCTTCAATTATGTGGTGGAATATGATTCTGTATTAATTATAATTGTAATTTCTACTTGAGCCATTTGGATTACCCTGTGTGATTTTAACTTCCACTGCAATATCT